TTTTTTGTCTTACCTTTTTGAACTTTAATGGTAAGGGTAAAAGGATAAAGTCTTTGACGTCAACCAGTCCTGTTTTTGGCATGCGCCTCGCACTAGACTACTATTCGGAGTCGTATGACAGTAAGGGTAGTAAAAGGCCTAGACAATGACCTAAGCTGGACAGCCGATCTACAAACCAGTGCTTCCAACCTCCCAAACAGGTCTGCTACCAAATAATCTTTTGGTTGGTCTAGGCAGGTTTCGATTCAGGATCAGATCCTGGGATTGTGAGGGTGGATAGCGCCACTTGCCATTACATCATCTTCGCCTTTAAATACAACGAGAAATAAATAAGTTGCGGCTCTGTATGTCTCAGTCTTTGGTAGACTTTTGGTACAGTTTCTGATTGAGTCCTACTGTATGCGTTTATAAAAACTATCCTACATAAGGAAAAGGAGATTACGAAGGGGTGTGTCCTTTCACATTTTATGTTTTTCAAAAATCACTTTGTACCAACTTGCAAATGGAAACCAGACTCGGTTTTGCTGCCCTTTTCAATTCCGATCTCTGACGTGATGACCAAGCCAGGGCAGACAAATTGAATTCAGCGACGTATCATAATGAGTTGTGTTTGGAGTTCAATACATCAAAACCCAAACTGGTGACAAGGGGTTTTCCCTAAGGGACCGTCGTAAAATAGACAAGAAGAGTGGAGTGAGTGGGAAGCTCTCTTGGTTACATTTGCTCTGATGCTTTTTGAAGTTATTCAGAAATACCCTGCGAAATCAGTTGATTGTAGAAGTTGGACTCATTTCTTACCCGTATTGATGGGTTTGGTAAGCTACCTCATAGCAAACGAATTGTGGAAAAGAAGGTCGTAATGAAATGAAAGTCCGTTCATCATTTTCAACGTTTTCTAGCTAGTTACCACTGCAGACCATGTGTTATGCTTGCTTGGTTAGCGTGCGGCTGCGTTGCGTTATCGTCACGTCCCCTAAGACTTCCTCTCCATTTTCTTGTCATAATGTATTGAGTATCTTCCCCTGTTTGGTCATTTATAACCTTTTACTTCCAAAGAATGGCACAACGGTCCCTCTATGAACTTTGATGCGACACTTCGTAGGTTTGCTTGGCTATAGCTCTGTTTGATGTTTCGAAAGATTTGATGGCCCGAAGAACGAGTCCAAACAAACCTGAGTGGCTTTTCACTGAAGATATTTTTATATTTACCTTACCATGTGACCCTCCTTCCTTGAAATAGATTGGTTGTTAGCATAACGAGATGCGCGTATATCCCCTGGAGATTACGCCTCCATCATGTCGATTCCTTATAAGCGAATGGCCATGTTTCAAGTCTTATTGTGTAGGTCCTGCCGTAGTACTTGTGCATAAATTTCCTTGCACTACTTCCATTGAATGGAGTAGGTGTGATTTGTGACGGTCCGCGTCAGTTATTGCGCAGACCACTGTTGTCGGCGTCGAGAAGCCTTGGCCTGTCAATCGTGCCAGGACCGTTCACCTTCTACAGTTGAAGTTGAAGGGACCGGCTTGATTTCGAGGCACTGACGACAATGGTGTGTAACGACGGAGCTTCAACCAACTTCAACTCCAACTGTAGAAGGTGAACGATCCTGGCACGATTGCCTTTTTGGTACGATTTCCACTCGGGCAGGGAACGACGGTACGTTTAAGAACCCTGCTTAATGAATGCTGTTCTTCGATGTAGTTCTCTTTCATCTAATTCAGTGTAGCACGTCTTATGGGCAAAAGAAATAAGTAAATTAACATAAGTAAATATTTGCTTCTCTTGGGCGATTTTTAGTTTCAACGTTAGGTACGATAGTTTCTCATTAGACAGCTGTTCTTGGGGAGTGAAATGGATGAACTGCTTAAAGTTAACAAACCCTACTTAAATTGGACCTTACTTCATTTTTTCTGTAAAT